TCCCCAATACTGCCCAGAAAAAAAATAAAATAAAATCATGGACTTTAAATGTAACTGTAGAAGAATATAGATATTTTAAATGTTTCAGACATTAACTTCTGGTTTGGCAGGAATTAAAAGTAACAAAAAATGTTAAGTTCTTTGATGACCAAATACAGTTAAGAAACAGCTGTACAATTTGCTGAAAATGCTGCTGTTTCTGGGGGACAAACTATTGCTAGGAGTCCAAGAGACAGAAAATCCCATTTGTAAAAAGCTGAGGTCTAGCTTCAGTGTGGAGAATTTTCTGTGAAGGAAAAGACTTTTGGAAATTTTAACTTGGTATATATCTTGCTCTCAGACAAACACATTTGGTGAAATCAAGAAAATATTTCAGACATTGTCACACCCTTGAGTGTGGCGCCTTCTTCTAAGGAGAAAGTCTGAAATGAGACATACAGTGTTATGTAAATGTCAGTTATTCCAAGTGTTTGCACAGTACTACTGCATCATGCCAAGGCTAAAGTCTTATGATAGTAAGTAGTGAGTAATGTGTTTTGACCTAAGTGGAGATACAGTTTTTCCTTCCTTTCTCCTCCTCTCTCTTTCCCATTGTGGTCTTCCTTCCCTCTTTCTCTTTTTTCTCTTTTAACAGGAACATGTTTTCAGTTGATTGATCAAACAGGTTTAAAAAAAAAAAAAAAAAAAAAAACTTCAAGAAGCCAGTAGTGCTAGTTACCAAAATCGACAGTGTGAGAAAGACTTCAAGAGTTGACCAGATGGCCCATATTTGTTTGAACTGAAAAGTCAATTAAGCCACAAACTGAATCCATTCAGTCCAGCAGCTTGATGGGTTTTGTGGCTTTAATATCCCCAGATTGTCTGTCTATTTCTTAGTCAAATGAAAAAAAAAAAAAAAGCTTGGGAATGAAACCCACCATTTTCCTCTGAGTTTAAATTGTATCTTGAGCAGTTTTATTTTATTTATGTCACAGTTTGAAGAACTTGTGGAGTCCCTCTATTGTTCTGTGTACTGATGTGGTTGGATTTCTTTCTCTTTATTCCGGCATGGTTATTGATTTTTTGACAGTGTTTAATATTAAAAGTTATAAATCTGCATGCCATGGAACTGTTTTGCCATAAATATCTGGGGAAATGAAAAAGTGGTGATGAGGAGAGCCCCCCAGTGTGGTCATTCTTCAGCCACCAGACTCTCACTCTTGGGGAGAAGATGTGTCGCAGGTTTGAACCTGCATGATGGAAGTATTCAAACAAGCTTTTAAAAATGTTTCACAGTTTTAAAAATATTTTTGTCACAAATCAAATGTCAGCTTTAAGGGCTGTGTTTATGGAGTCCTGCTGCACTGTGTGATGTAACACATAAAAAAAAAAAAAAACAGAAGGGCTGATATATTTGGGCCATTTATTTGAAGGATACTTTTTTAGTACCAGCAAGTCAGCAAGTCCAGTTAGAAAGTCCCATCTGCTCTTCCTCTTACTGCCTCTGCTTTCTTGCTATCTTCCCTGATGTCATCTTACACCAAGCCACTGCCTGATTTTTATCAGGATTGTAGCAATGCCCTTCTGGGCTCTTTGCAGGAACAGTTCGCTTCCCTTTCCCCCCTTCCCCACATGACTTCTGGAACACTCACTTCATATCTTCTCCTGCATAAAACCCTGAATTGCCTTTGCATGTGTTATCAGCGGGGGGTTATTCAGGGAAATAAATGAGTGAAATAGAACAAGTTAAAGGAGAAGTTGGAGAAGTATACTGAAAATGCACTAAAACTCAATTTGCAGATTTGCACATTGCATCTAAAATTGCAAGACTATTCCGTCAACCAGCTGTAGGACCAGTGCAGTAGCATCGGGGCAGGGAAAGAGCCTGTGTCTGCAGAGAGAGGATGGTGTATGTGTGTAGTGCATGTAGAAGAAATCCCACCCACTCACATGTGAAATATTCAGAGATCTGGAGTCCTTCCATTGCAACATGAAATGCAACTAAGAAGAATATTCCACTTAGGTTGACAGAATTATCTTAAGCATAATGGCTAGGGAGGAATAACTGGCAAAATCTCCGTGAAACTGATGTAAAAGTGCCTCCAACTCACCCCCTTCCCACCAAATCTTCAAGAATTAGAGAAATCTTCTATATATTTTGTAAAAGTTAACTTACCCATGCATTTTTTTAAAATAGGCAAATCCTACTTAGTGGTCTCTGGTTTCCAATTGCATGGTAGTAGTATTGTTCTGCTTCTGATTTTCTTCCTCTTATCCACTTTTTAAATGTTCTTTGCATTCTAGACTCATCGGGATTAAAGGGTTGTGTCCTTTGGCTAGGCTCTGTGAATAACTGCGGACTCTCCTCTCAGACTATTCCATTTCCCTTGTGAAGTACAACAGAGCTTTGGGCAACTGCTCATCGCTCCAGCTCTCCCTTTTCCCACTAGCTTCTATGTAGGATTCGCAATACCAAAGCTTCCTGTAGATGTTCTGGAAGGTGCCAGAAGCTACCTCTTGCACCACCGGTCACTTCTGTCTGCACAGCTATAGTTCATGACTTCCCTCTTCCTAGCTGTGTGAATTCTCTACATTTTGAAAAGAGAGCAACTTCCAGGCTGAATATAGGCAGAAGCGGGCTCCTCAGCAGTACAGCAACCATGAATTCCAGATGCATACTTCCCCCCACCCAAAGATGCATTCCAGTTTAAAGCTGCGTTGGCTACAGTTTGTTCTTTAATCTTTCCTTATCCTTGAGTGTCAGTTACATTGAGTGTGATCCTGGGAGGAGCCAAACTGCTCTATGTGTGAGCATCAGAGGAATCTCCCAAAAAGGGTGGCATTTCTTAAGTGATTTTTGCTTTTTTACGGAAAGACTCAGAGCTTGTGAGCTTGAAACATACCACATTGCTCTTTCAAATGTAAATCAATTAAATATGAAGTTTGGCACTTTTCTAGTAAAAGTGATAATGTTTTATCAATTTATTCTAATTTCTGCCTATCTGTGACTTTCCAGAACACATCTGTAACACTGTCAGCTGGAAGGAAGGAAATAGCAAATTGAACCATACAGAGGATTGGATCTGTTTAATTATTAAGGGTGCTGTGGTTCCATCAACTGAAAGAATAAAATACATCCTCTGTGCTCCCAGTAAGAAGGAATAAGGTATTGGACAGCGAGTGCCTAGATGCCCTGGGTAGGGACCGATGGTGCAGAGATTCTCTGAGAAGGAACCGCCTTCTTTCCTTGTGGCCACCATGTGAACAGCCTACCTGTAGGAAGCTCAACTTGCAGAACAGCACTTTCAAACAAAATGCAGTGATATTGGCTACCAGTACCAATATCCTCTGACAAAAATCAATATCGGTCACTTCTGTGGGCCAGTATTTCTCAAACACCTGAATTCAGGATAACTGCTTTGGCTGGATATAAATTGGTGTATAATCTCCTAACACTCTTTCTTAACCTCTGATCTTATGTTCACTTGGTCCCTTGAGTGCACTATATGTACTACAAACTTCCATCGCTCCCCCAAATCATCTCCTTGCTGATCAACCACTTCCTGTGAAAGGAAATGACCCAGGAAGTACAAAATAATTCTTAGCACTAGCACTAGTTTTAGAACAAAATTACTATTTGTTGAGCAGGGGCTGTGTACAAAATATTTTTACCCATATTATCACATGCAATGCTTAGGACAACTTTTGAAATGTACATTGTTATCTTAATTTACTTTTTAAGAAAACAAATTCTTAAGAGTGTCGCGTTGTCAAAAAGATACGGGGGAAAATAATGATTTCAGAATGTCTTGTGCAAGAACAATTTGAGAATTTCAAAAGGTGCTCTTTTCTTCTCAGTTCCTAGTCATTTTTTCCCATCATCCTCTGACCACATTTGCTGATCCCCAGTGTAGAACTTCCGGGCAGTGGTTTTGGTCTTAGGCAGGTGGGTGTTTGAAATCACCACTTTCAACAGCCTTTTTCTTTATCAGCCACACCTCTTCACTTAGGGAATGTGCTTGTAACGCACAAGTGCTAAAATTGGAGTTCTTGCTGCCCATCATAGAATTTTGGTGAATACTTCATTTGTGTTACAAATGAAAGTTTATAAAGGATAAAGAGGTCCTTGCTCTTTTTAGAGACAGCAATTTCAATTTCAATAGCATCACAGTTGCTTTCATTATGGCTTAAGAATTTCTGCCTTTAAGTACCTTTTTGCAGTGTTCCTTTCCATGTGCCCTGGACAATAAACCATCTTAAGTGGGGGGCTTTGTTCTTGTTGTTGTTGTTTTTTCATTATGAAACTTAGATGTGCTCCTCCCATCCCAGTTGTTTTAGGGACTTCCGTGAAACCATGCAGTTTGGAGATCTCATCTTTTGTTTCTTTATAACTCCAATTTCTGGCACATAGGGACCTTCAACAGAAGTTTGTTCACCTGTATCGCAAATGAATGGTGGAATAATTCGTAGCCCCTATAGATTTAAGTCAGCTAAAAAAATTGCTGAAACAGTACTGATACATGACTGGTTTTGGTGTTCTTGATTATGAAAAATTTTTTAAGGATTACTATTGAATTATCCAAGAAAGTATAGCTATAACTAATGAGTGAAAATCAGATGAAATTTAAATGAGAACTGAACATTAATGAAATATTTCTGGTGGATGAGATTAGGACTTAATCAGGTAGAGGAGTCCCCGTGGAAGTGGTGGGGGACACATAATACTGTACATGTCACTCAAAACTGGGTAGGGACAGACTCTGCCTGAAAGATTGGTGAGGCCATGGCTCTAGTTCTGTGGATTCTCTTTCTGACACAGGTACACATTCACAGCCTCCCACCCCTTATAGACAGCATGTATGATGTGATGTGTTAAATTTTATTTTTCTTTTTTCTTTTTTATTATTTTGGTACTGGGGATTGAACTCAGGACCTTGCGCTTGCTTGCAAGGCAGGCAGTGGAACCACTGAGCTAAATCCCTGGCCCTTAAATTTTCTGATTATAGTTCTCTTTTTTCCAGAAAACACTCCTTTTAGAGCACATCCTGGTGGTACCATCAGAAATGTCTTTCCTAAGTGGAAAAGTGCAAACTGTTCTGGGCCTTGTGGATCCAAGCAAACTGGGCCGGACCCTGACCCATGAGCATTTGACAATGACCTTTGATTGCAATTACTACCCACCTCCTCCATGCCATGAAGTCACCTCTAAGGAGCCTATCCTGATGAAGAACTTATTTTGGATTCAGCAAAACCCTTACTCCCATAAAGAGAACCTTCAGTTGCATCAGGAGACAGCAGCCATAAAGGAAGAGTTGTTGTATTTCAAAGCTAAGGGTGGGGGCGCTGTGGTGGAGAACACAACCACTGGCATCTGCAGGGATGTGCAGACCTTGAAGTGGCTGGCAGAGCAGACTGGAGTCCATGTCATAGCAGGGGCTGGATTTTATGTGGGTGCAACTCATTCTTCAGAGACCAGAGCCATGTCAGTAGAGCAGGTAAAAAGTCCCAAGTTCTTCAACAATATTTGTGTATAAATTCAGAATAACCTAAATCTTGGAGATGCCATTGGCTCAGAAGGAGCTGAAAGTACAGAAAGTCGCTAGCCTCAAAGATATCTGCCAGTTGGGATCCAAATTAGTGACATTTCACATCCTAAAGAAGCAATGTTACGGAAGGAGAGCTGGATGCACCGGTTGCCGCTGGTGAATTGATTTGCATATACCGTATCGGTGTCCAGTAGTGATGCCCCCAATTATTTGTAGCCCTCACTTTTCCATCATAAACTTCAGCTATGCAGCTGTGATATTTCCCCTCTGGATTTTATCATAACCAGCAATGAAAACTCACCAGGGGGTGAAATTTGGCATGCAGAGACTGGACACTTTTGCAAATACGTTTTCTTTTTGTATGAAATGGGAAGGGTGAAAGAAAATCTATTCTCTTGTTTTTGTTTTCATTTTTTAAATAATATGATCTTAATAAAGAATGGGCAGAAGGAAGTAAAACTTTCATGGACAAAAAGAAAGAACAAGCAGCAAAGCTTTTTCACATGTGTATGCTCTCTTCCAAACACGTGTGTGTATTTGTGTGTATTTATACATTCACGTACATATTCCTGTGTACTCTTTATGGCCTGTTTGACAGGCACAGAATGTCACTTGACATCTTTACAAAGGATCAGTTAAAGTTTAAAATGATTTGTATTTAAAACTATTATTTTTTCATCAAGATTGTAAAAAATATTTAAGTTATTTGAAGACAAAGCTAATTAGCAAGCATTAAAAATTTGTCAGACCACTCTTAGCAGTTAATATACAATTAAGCCACAGTGTATAATGTTGGTATTGTGTGCTGTGAATTTTCTATGCCATGTAGGACAAAGGACTGAATAAATAAGGGAGACTTAAAGAATTACTTGATACAGCTGACAGAGATTCAGAGGCATTCATCGATGCTACTCCGAGATTAAGTTATAGTTTTGTTTTTTTTTTTCTCAAGCGCAATCTATGCTCAGAAATTCACTTTTTCCTCCTGGAACTTCCTAGACTTCAGACATTAATGAATCTTGAATCTCAAATAACTTGTTGAATTTGGTACCGAGAACTGAACTCAGAACCTTGCGCTTGTGAGGCAGGGGGCGGAACCACTGAGCTAAATCCCTGGCCCTCAAACACGCTTTTAAAACAATGCATGACTAAATGAATGAATTCGTTCATTTATCATGATGAATTCCACAGTCTATAAAATATGTTCCTTCTCACTCCTCCTTAGCTTACTGAGGTCCTTACTAAAGAAATTCTCCATGGAGCCGATGGGACCACTATCAAGTGCGGTGTTATTGGAGAAATCGGTTGCTCCTGGCCTTTGACCGAGAGTGAAAGAAAGGTTCTCCAGGCAACAGCGCATGCCCAGGAGCAGCTTGGCTGCCCTGTTATTGTCCATCCTGGACAGAGTCCGAGTGCACCATTTCAGATTATCCGAGCACTGCAAGAAGCAGGTGCAGACATCTCGAAAACAGTTATGTCCCACCTTGACAGGTAAGCAGGCTCTCTTGCCGATTGGTGCAAACCACCGTATGATGAATGGATAGTCAAATTTTAAAATCATCAAAAATCAGGTCAATTAATCACGTAGGGACACTCACTCGCTACCTGGAAGGTAGTACTTACAACTAGCATAAATACAAGTTAATGCTGCCGTTTTTGTGAGGGATGGAAACATGCTGTGAACTCTTGGGTAGCTGCAGCTGAGTTGCAAACCATGTGTTTGTGGGTGTGCCCATAATCCCAGCTACTTGAGAGGCTGAAGCAGGAGGATCACCAGAGCCTAACGTAGGTCATCCTGGGTAACACGGGGAGACCTTCATCTCAGAATGAAGACAAATATAAAGAAATGAAATAGTACGTTTGACCGTCCATATTGTTAAATTTTCTAAACGTTTCATAGATTCTTAAGAACATCGTTAGGCAGTGTGGACTGCCAGTATATGTAGCATATTTAATAAATATGATGTTTGTTGCTGGGTTTGTTCCAACAAACCCCGATGAGAGAGACGGATGAAAACACAAGGGACAAAGAACATCTGTGTGGGGAGGTCAGGGGCGTCACGGGATGAAACCTGGAAATGAGGTCACCTCCCAGTTCTACTGAGAAACAAAGGGATTGTGTCCTGCTGAACACAGGTGCATATTTTACTTTATTTAATAAGTTTATTGGTACATTTTAGGTGTGCATTATGGTCATGGTCATCGGGAATTTGTATCTGTACATTATATATCTTGGTTTTTGTTTTTTTCCGTTCCCCTTCCCTCCCTTCCACTCCTATTTACAAAAGCTTTGTTTCTGTTTTTTCTTTCTTTTCTCATATTTTTTTCTTTCTTTCCTTTCCCTCATTCCCCTCCCCGCTTCCCTTTCCCCTTTGGACCTTTTCTTCCTGTTTCACAATATCTATTATACATGTCTGTTCTCATTTACACTTTCAGTTTCTCACACCAGAGAAATAATACAATATTTAAACATGTGTGTCTGATTTATTTCACTTAAGAGTGCAGTCTCAAAGTGCATCCATTTACCTAGAAATGTCTCAAGTTTATCCTTCTTTATGACAGAGTAGCACTCTGTTATATATATATATACTCTATTATATATTGTATATATTATACTCTATTATATATAATGTATATTATAT